GCTGTGAGGACTGGCTGTGACTACAGTGGAAGAGCTGCTGTGCAGGACACCCCTATGGAGCAGGACTTGCTTCAGTGGGGCTTTGGTGCTCACTGAGTCGGCCCTTTGAGTGTGTCGCTTTAGATGTGGTAGAGTTGTAATTTGGTGTGGTCTGAAGCTTTCCACCAGGTGCAATGGCTCTGGGGCCTCCCGGGAGGTGCAAAGTCAGCCACTGCTTGTCCCTTGCCTGGGGCCACCTGGCATGAACTACAGAGCAATCTGCAGATGGCTGCCACTTGTGTTGTGCTAGGAGGTGTCCGGGAGAGGCCAAGCTGTGAACCTTGGCAAGTTGCTGCTAGTGCCAGGCCTGGGGCCACTTATTGAGAGGTATGGGGCACACCAACTCCAGCTGCTGCTTATTTGAGAGATTTTAGGAAAATCTGAAGCCTGAGCCAGAACAGACCATTAATATAAAAAAGCCACTGCAAACAGGTTGGGTGGGGCTGCAAATTGGGTGGGGTGGGATCTCAGGGAATCACCAGGGTGAACAATGTGAGCTATGCTGATGGAAACTTAGATATGGCAGTCAGCTCTGTGTGGGGGGAGATCTCTGCAGGGAAACAATGACCTCTGCCAGCACTTTTGTTTAGGAGATAGCTGCCCCCCAAGTTCTTGCCCTGATGCTAGACAATTTAGTTTCTCCCCATATGTCCCTGGATCCTTTCAAGCTGCTCCCAAGCACTGGAGCTCAGAGGGAGTAAGTCTGTGCAAGGGCCTTTAAGAAGAACTGCCCGGGTCTCAGGCAGCCTCTGTTAGCCACAATTCCTGCTGGTTTTTCCAGCCCAAAGTTAAGGGGACTTCTCTTCCCAGCACTGGAACCCTGGGCTGACAGTTTTGATGTGGAGCTGGGACCCTTTGCTCCTCAGAGGAGGCCTTCTCAGCCAAGATATCCATCCCAATTGAAAACACGTATTGGACCAACCCATTCTGCGCCTCTGCCCCACCTACCAGTCTCAGTGTGGTTTCTTTAAATTTCCCAGTTGGAGGGCTTTTATTCAGTCAGATTTTAAGCGGTTCTGAATGATGGTTGTTCTGTATTTTAGTTGTAATTTTGATGGGTTGTGGGAGGTGGCGAGTACCATGTTTACCTATGCCGCCATCTTCTCTACAGCTCAAATCTGATATTTTAAATTATTGATTTCAAAAAATGTTATTACTTACTAGTTGCTTTCAATTTAAGAATAATTGGGTGAGACTCCTTCCCATGAATAATGCTTATAATATTCTATTGAGAATTTTGGGAAAAAATAGATAATTAAAATAAGAAGAATTATCCATAGGAGGTTTTAATGATAAGTGATGGGAAAATCATATTATGTATGCTTTCAAGTTTACTTTCCTGAAAAGGCAATTTCTGCTATAAAAAATCAAGAAAATGTAACACCTTTCTTCTACCATTAATATGTAATCAAACCTGGGGTCTTTTTATAGGACTTATAATTGTGTAAACAGTGTAAGATCATTTGTATGACTCAATGTGGCTTACATGTCTCTGGAGACAGAATCACGTAATTTGGCTAAGAACTTAGACTTTTGCGGCTTTAGTTGGGTGGGATCAGATTCCATTCCTGAAAAAGGGTGGCTTTGAAATGCCTAATCTGGCATTTGTCACAGAGTAATACTTGAGTTTTGCTCTTTTAAAGCTAACTCATTTCAGAACCTTGAGGTAAAGCAGTGATTATAAATTTGCAATATAGGTGCCATAAATGTGAAGAGCTGTGATTGATGATTTATTAAATTTATAGTTTTTAGAGTTGTTCATGAAAATTAAAACAGGAACACTGATCTACAGGTACATATAAAATAAGTCTCGTTAAAATAATTTAGATGATCAAAGGGTTTTTTCTTTAATGGAAAGGATGGCCCTAGCTGGTTTGGATCAGTGGATAGAGCATCGGCCTGCAGACTGAAGGGTCCCAGGTTCGATTCCAATCAGGGGCAAATGCCCAGGTTGCAGGCTTGATCCCCAGTAAGGGGCATGCAGAAGGCAGCCGATCAGTGATTCTTACCATTGATGTTTCTATCTCTCCTCCATCTCCCTTCCTCTCTGAAATCAATAAGAATATTTAATAAATAAATAAATAAATAAAATGGAAAGGATGAAATGAATTAAAAATCAATTGTCCAAGGAAATGAATGCCTTATCAAAATATATTAACACAACATTTCATAGTTATAAAAGAAAAGAGAAATATCAATTGGAATAAAAATTTCAAACAGACTACAGGATGTGCATTCTATCTTTTCTTACCACCACAGTCAAGTCAAAGCTAAGACCAAAAAGTGCTTGCTAATTTTTTTTGTGTTATTTTAGCTTTTCTCCAGTTTTGAGTAGAAACTGGAAACATTGACTGTTTGGGGGCTCCACCTTTGTTACTCCTTTTGGCTCAACCCCATCTGTGTCCTCTTGAATGCTCAGAATTTGCCTCTTCTCTTTACTTGCCGATCTCTGCTTGTGGTGGGCATCGTAGGTAGGTTTCCTGACAGTTAAATGAGTTTCTCATAATCAAAATAAAGGCTTCTAGAATCAAGCATATCTAATGTGTTTTAAGTAATTAAACAAGACAGCCCTCTCAAGATCATTCTTTGGGATTTAGTAGTTGTCCAAAATCTGAAAATACTACTTTAAAAGAATGTCTCACCACAAATTAGGATAGTGGCTGTATTGCCTGTAACAGGACTAGAATGCAGAAAGTGTTCAATACGTGTTAGTGAAGAAATGGTCTTGTGCAAGGTGCTTCATTCAGGTGAGCCTCAGTTTCTCTTTTAAACATTGGAATTCAACTGGCCTTCCTTTCAAAATGGTAGCATATGTTAAAATATTTAGAAACATATAGCATACTTATCTAAGTTAAAAAAAGTTTTTTTTACTGTTATTTTACTTTCAATTCATGGAAGGCAAAAGATCGGTATTGCAATTTCTAATGAATTTGATTCCTGCTGCAGTGAAAATGTTCTGGATTTTCAAGAGCAATTTTGATTTCACCTAGTCTGTCCAATGGTTTGATCACATAAACTATTAAAATACTTCAAATTCATATGTATCTCCTATCTGTCTCATAGTTGGCCGTCAGTCCTCTGCCAGATAATGTTCTAATTTGGAAAATTAGAGAGACTAGTTCGTAGTAATGACAGTATTCACATTAACACCATAGAAAAATATTGGTGATAGTTTAGGCAAGATTTGTTTCAGGGTGATGGGTTTTTGTGTTGTTGTTTTTTTGTGTGTGTGTGTGTGTTTAATATTAGCATGTTAAATAGAGAATTTTGTGAAGACTTTTACTAGGCAATAACTATAAAGCTAATTTGTTTCAGAGAAACATGGGTGTCACCGGCCGAGGAGACCCTGGAACCCTGGTCATCCTTCCTGCACCCACGTCTGGACACCATGCTCAGACCTCGGCCTCAAAACAAACAGAAGCAGAAGCTGGTAATGGGGTTTGATTCCTGCTGATCTTTGTAACATCCATAACCACAGTTCCAGAGGGTTGCTTTGAAAATAAAAGGAGAGCAAAGATGTATATAGTTTTTGAGTGAACAAATGTGTAATGTTACTCCTACTTGATGTGTGTCCTCCCCCTAGATTTCATTTTGCATTTAGAAGACAAAGTTGCCCTAGGCCCTCTTACGTCTATTTTTCATGGCCTTCCCTCCATTCAGAAGTGATTCTGTTTAGAAGGAGAATAATTAGAATTTTAATGGCACAGTCATACTTTTATTCCCTGGCTTTATTGAGAAATCAAGGGCTTCACATAAGAAAATTGACAAATAGTGGACACTTTTTCATTCACATTACTGGTTTATTTCAACCATTTTTTTCTTTTTTTAAAATATATTTTTATTGATTTCAGAGAGGAAGAGAGAGGGAGAGGTAGAAACATCAGTGATGAGAGAGAATCACTGATTGGCTGCCTCCTGCAGGCCCCCCATTGGGGATTGAGCCCGCAACCCAGGCATGTGCCCTTGACTGGAATCGACCCCGGGACCCTTCAGTCCACAGGCCAACACTCTATCCACTGAGCCAAACCAGCTAGGGCTCAACCGTTTTTTTAATGGAAATGTTCCTGAAGTGTATTAGGTGTTTTCTGATTTATTTGTGAGTTTCTTGTGGGCAGGGGCAGTGTTTTTATCTCTTCCTCCCTAACACATGGCAGAGTGAATGACACAGAATTTGCGGTCCTTGAGTATTTGATGAATTGACAGTTTAACTTTTCCTTAATACTTAGAATTGTCATTATGAAGAAGAGTTGGTGTGCTGTACTGCAGCCCCTTGAAGTTTTCAGAGGTCACAGAGGACTATAGGGCTTCTATTCACTGAGCTTTTGAGCGAGGCTTGGCATGTCTTTTAGTAGCTTTCATCCCTAATAGGGGATTGGCCCCTTGCAGCCTGCTTCTTCCCCCCACATACCAACACATGCACACTCTCTCTGTTTGTAACCCGAAAAGAACTAAGAATTGCCAGAGCAAATCATACGTACTAAACCAATAACCTTAGTTTTCACACGTTTCTAATTCAGTAGGCAGTATTACCAGGATCCTTAGAGAACCCCCCTGCCTTGCCTGAGAAATCAGTCAACAGTATTTTTCTCATTGTTCATAGATCTTTTTCCCTCTACTTCTAGGTTTTAGATGGTTGAGAATATCTAATTGCTCATTAGGTGCATGGTAATACCACCTTAATTTATATCTTGCTTCTTACTTTTCATTTTATGTCTGTTATCATATTTGGAATGGCCTGAGAATCATATTTGTGTGTGTGAAATGAGTAGTTTGGCTTTGGGAAATTCTGTCAATATGAAAGAAATTGGACTAAGTCAAATCAGACTATAAACAAATTTATTTTTCTTTCTTTAGTCTTTTCCCCTAAAAACAACACATTAACAAATTCATTAGAAAGGATTAAATAATCCAAAACATATAGTAAGAGATAAAGTCCTTTATAGTCTTACTCCCAGAGTGCCACTGTTGACTATTTGGTTATAGTCTTCTAATATCTCATTATTTTTAAAAGTAATTTAAACATTAATTATTAAATACTTGACACATACAAAAAATACATGTAATGATCACATAAGTTACGAGGGCTGACGACCAGGAACCCACTTTAAGACTTAAGAAATAGAACATTACCAATACTGTTAAAGACTGCTCCCCTCCAGTTTGCATAGTTACTTATTTATCTGTTTGTCCACCCATCCATCTGCCTATCTACTTACCAACTTGCTTACATATCCATCTATTCGTCCGTCCATCCATCCATCCATCCATCTATCCATCTATCCCATTTTTGGTAGGATTATTGGTATGAACCATGAATTCATATTTTTAAAAAAACATATATTTTAAATATACGTTTTATTGACTTTTTAGAGAGAGAGGAAGGGAGAGAGAGAGAAATATTGATGAGAGAGGACCATCATCGATCAGCTGCCTCCTGCACGCCCCCTACTAGGGATGGACCCACACCCGGGCATGTGCCTAGTGCCTTCTTGGTTCCTGGGTCGATGCTCAACTGCTGAGCCATACCAGCCAGACTAAAATATGTTTTATAATCCATTACTATACTAAGTGTTCAAATTGTCCCAGATTTAGCTAGTGGAGCCTCTTCAAACTGGCTCCCATGTCCTTGGGACATGCTATATATTTGAGTAATTTCTTACTTTCTGGTATAGCAAAATACTCTAGCCTCATCTTGTATATACCCTTTCCCGGTACTAGAGTCAGTCATTTCTTGAAGATTTGAGGTCCTTTTTAGTGGGGAATGGTATACAATACTAAAGTCTGAGCATTATTTTTCATAACAATTTAAAATAGATGGTTTTATTCAGTTTTGCACATTAAAATACTAAGTCTCAGAGAGGTTAAGTAATATTCTCCAAGTCACACACCCAGTAAATAGTGGAAACAGGATTTAAACCCAAGTCTTTTTCTTAAGCATCATACTTTTTCCAGTTATACTGTAGCCTTTAGTTATGTCATTTGGTCTCCTTTTTCCCTCCTTCCATCCCTCTCTCCCTCCTGCCCTCGTCCCCTCCCTCCTTCTCTTCCTTGTAGTTCTTAGTCTAAATTGATATAAAGGTTTGCTATCATTTAATTTTTGCAGATAAGAAAAAGATCCCCGAGATTAAAGGTTCATGCTGTGGACACAGCTTCCAAGAACTTGAAAAGGCAAAGCAGGAATGTCAAGATCTGAAAAGAAAACTGGAGAAATGCTGTAGGCATCTTCAGCATTTAGAAAGGAAGCACAAAGCCGTAGTGGAAAAAATCGGAGGTTAGCATTTAAGGTGGCATTGCTACCAGTAGAAATCTCTTTGATCCTTGTTGAAATGTTCAAATGTGAATTTTTACTTAACAGGCACTGGTTCTCTTTGGGAGTTAATGTAAACTAATTTGGACCTTATTTTTACTAACCAAATTATTACTGAACTCAAAAGAGGAAAATTGGAGCTCTGATGAAAAGGTCACATTCCTTTCTTCCTTTTTTGATTGAAGAGACATTGAGTGCCCATTATGTGTCAGGCAGTATTGTAGGCACTGGTGATATCGCAGTAAATGCATCAGGCAGAATTCCAGTTTAGATGGAGATATGCAAGACTGTTCTTTTCCTTCAAGAAGCTTCTTATCAAGTGAGGAGAATTGAAAACAAGTTAATCAATAATTGCAGCATTGAGTGCTACTGGCAGTATGTTCGTGTAAACTTGGAAGAAAAGATGTTAATTAACTCTTCCTCCTGTTTAGAGTTAAGGGAGGCTTGACTAAGCCGTGAAAGGTGAAGGTCTTTGCCAAAGAGAACAGCATTCTAGGCAGAGGGCAAAGGCGTGAACAAAGGTGCCTGGGTCTGACCTGGTTGCCTTCCAGTCCATTTTTCACAGTGTTTTCAGGGAAATTATTTAAACGGGCATTTATGCCATTTTCTATTGCCCTTATAAGAAAGGAAGCTATTGAGCTTATGAGGGTGCACCCTCTTACCTTTCACTCTTCACTTATATTCTGTGCTCTGTATATTCTTTACATTTGAAATAGTTCAGATTCTTGAACTGGTCAGGAATTTTCTTTTACTCCTGTAAGTACCCTGAGGATAAGGAATGTTTTGTCTTATTCACCCTTGTTGTCATGGTGCCCACTACATACCAGACAATAGTAAATGTCTGAATGAATGAAAGCCTGAATCCGTGGACTCCAAATAATTGCATCATCCATAAAAGACCAAGTGGATAGATTTATATTTATTTTATATATTTAAATGCCATTTAACAAAGAAAAATCAACCAAAAAAATGAGTTCGCAAGTCACCTCTGACACGCGTGTCATAGGTTCGCCATCACTGAGCTAGAGCAACCTTTTACCAAGTAAATTGGGTCACCACACTCTTAAAGCCCAGTAGGGGCTGGATATGGTCCTCAGTGAGACATACAAATACTTAATTGAAGAGTCTAAAAAGCCCTTCATGACCGAGCATCTGCTAGCCCCTCCGGCTTCCTCTTTCCCCAGCCCACATACCCATTCATAGAGCCATAGCATGGATTTCATTGTCTCTTTCCTCGAGACTTCTTTGCATTCCCTCCTTTTACCAGAACATCTGTCCTACCATCCTGACCATATTGCCTGGCTAGCTCCTCCGCATCTCTCTCTAAGTGCATGCCTTCCTCAGGGAGGTAATCCCAGCCACCAGACTTGATTAGGTTCTTCTGATAGACGTCCCCCCACCACCTGTGATTTTTATAACAGTCATCATCCTTGGAGTTATTGGATGTTTATATTCTCCAAAGGAGTAGAGACTTCATGGTGACAAGGACCAAGTTCTGGACCAGCACTTAGCACAGTGTCTGGCATCAGCACACACTGTGAACACCGTTGCCTAAGAGAAGCCGTCTACATCCTCCTACTGCTTGATAAGTCTGTTAAAGATCTATATATATAAAAGCCTAAACGACCGTTATGACCAAATGACTGACTGAATGGTCACTATGATGTGCACTGACCACCAGGGGGCAAACACTCAATACAGGAGCCTCCTGGTGATCAGTGTGCTCCCACAGCCAACCAACCATAGTCCCTCCCCCTGGCCAGCCAATCTCCTGTGGTCCCTCCCCCCTCAGCCAGCCTCCCGCGGTCCCTCCTCAGGCCAACCAACCTCCTGGGGTCCCTCCCCCAGCTGGTCTGGCCCTGATAGACCCCGAACGGGGATGGGGCCGGCTGGTGAACCTCCCTTGGTCCCTACCCCTAGCCCACCCTGCTGGGCTGGCCAGGCTGAGAGATCCTACCTATGCACGAATTCGTGCACTGGGTCTCTAGTAGATAATAATTACTCTAAGGCAAAAAGCGTTTTAAGAATTTTGAGAAAAAAACTTTAATAGTTATAACTCTTATATAGTGATTGCTTACTTATTTAATCAACTGTAGATGTAGATACAATGTAGCTACTGTAAAATTAGGTGAAAACCAGCAATATCTGTTTTATAGAGTAAAATGACAGGGGCAGTTGGGTGTGATTATTATTTATAAATAATATTTAGCACCATTCATTGTGATCATAAAATCATTATTCTACATAGTGCTTTTTAAAAATATATATATTTTTATTGATTTCACAGAGGAAGGGAGAGGGAGAGAGAGAAACATCAGTGATGAGAGAGAGTCATTGATTGGCTGCTTCCTGCACACCCCCCTACTGGAGATCGAGCCTGCAACCTGGGTATGTGCCCTTGACTGGAATGGAACTCAGGACCCTTCAGTCCACAGGTGGACACTCTATCCACTAAGCCAAACCAGCTAGGGCTACCCAGTGCTTTTTGAGGTAGATCTCTTCTGTAATTTGTGCACTTAGAAATAATCCAAGGAAGTTGGTGATTAGCTCAAACAATGGCTGAAAAAAGGGGTCAGGGTCAGAATTGAAGTCATTCAATAGTTTCATTTTAGTGTTTGTCTTAATGTAAATCTGTTGATAATGTTTTTGCTATTGTGGTTGCTTCCTTTTTGTTTCTTAAATTCCCTTTCCACTGTCTTGGTAGCATTTATTGGAAAGTGATTAGAGTAATAATGAACGGTTTAAAAATATACAAGTTAACATCAATCACTAGGGGGAATAGAGTGAATCATTCCCCAGTGTATGGGGTGTAATGAGAGGGTTAAGAGTAGGATACATGAGGTGCCAGGTTTGTACTTCCTGAACAATGGTATTGCCAGGCCCATGTAAAGTTCTGTGCATTTATTGTTTTATCTCTGTTTTAATCTTCAAAGTAGGTAATATTATCCCCATTTTTCCAATGAAAAAACTCAGGTTCAGATAGTTTAAGAAATTTGCCTAAACTCATCCAACTGGTAAGAAGTAGAGTTAGTATTTAAACCCGTGTCACTGACTGAAATTTATGGAGTCCATCAGTCTCCTCATCTTTTTTAAAGTTCAAGGAATTAAAAAATCTGACCTTCATTCTGAAAACAGTGGCTTAAGCTTGATTTAAAAAGAAATGTTGTTTTGAGGTGCTTGTTCAGTGATCATTGATATGATCATAGACTGTACACCAGGATCCACGGGAACCGGGAATTAGAAAACCTAGTAGTTTCTGTAGAGCTTCAGTCTAGCTGGAAAACAAAAGAGATGCCTCTGAGACAATTGGAAACCTTTGCAGAGCAGTGTTTAACCCGAAGCAAGATGAACAAGCAGCACAGATTTTAAGTGCTAAGAAAACAGAACAGAAGTGGTCAGGTTAGGGCTCATCAGGGAATGAATGGCACAGGGAGCAACTGGAAATCCTATAGTCTCCTCCATAAACATTTGGATTGTGAACATAAGGGAACAGGAGGCTGAGAAAAAAAGAGATTAATTGATCAATATTCTATAAACTTCTTTTTTAGAAGAGAATAGTAAAGTTGTTGAAGAATTAATAGAAGAAAACAATGACATGAAGAGTAAATTGGAAGAACTGAGAACACTTTGTAACTTACCACCAAGGTATACTTTTACTATTTTAAAGAAATTGCTTATTTCTAAGTATCTTTAAATTATATCAATTGTGTTGATAATATACCAGGAAAATCAATTATTGTCATTGTTATATAGTCCTATGCCATGTAACAACATTTTGCTTAATGATGAACTTCATATATGACAGTAGTCCCATCCTATCTAATAAAAGAGTAATATGCAAATTAACCATCACTCCCACACTCCGCCAGTCCGTCACAAATATGGCGGTGGCCACAGAGCTGGAATGAGCAGGAGGCTTTGGTTGCCCCCGGCAATGGAGGAAGCCAAGCTTCCCGCCTGCCCTGGCCAGCCCTGAGCTCCACTCAAGGCTACAAAGTTTCAATTATAGAAGTTAAATAAATCCCAAATACCTGCTTCCAGCCCGCAGCCGTGGCCAGCCTGAACACAGCCATAAGCCCCTCACCCAGGCTGACTAGGCACCCCAGTAGGGCCCCCAAACCCTGAAGGGGGTGTGGCCAGCCTGCAAACAGCCATCAGCCACTCACCCAGACTGGCCAGGCACCCCAGCGGGACCCCTACCCTGAAGGGGGTGTGGCCAGCCTGCAAACAGCCATCAGCCACTCACCCAGACTGGCCAGGCACCCCAGCGGGACCCCTACCCTGAAGGGGGTGTGGCCAGCCTGCAAACAGCCATCAGCCACTCACCCAGACTGGCCAGGCACCCCAGCGGGACCCCTACCCTGAAGGGGGTGTGGCCAGCCTGCAAACAGCCATCAGCCACTCACCCAGACTGGCCAGGCACCCCAGCGGGACCCCTACCCTGAAGGGGGTGTGGCCAGCCTGCAAACAGCCATCAGCCACTCACCCAGACTGGCCAGGCACCCCAGCGGGACCCCTACCCTGAAGGGGGTGTGGCCAGCCTGCAAACAGCCATCAGCCACTCACCCAGACTGGCCAGGCACCCCAGCGGGACCCCTACCCTGAAGGGGGTGTGGCCAGCCTGCAAACAGCCATCAGCCACTCACCCAGACTGGCCAGGCACCCCAGCGGGACCCCTACCCTGAAGGGGGTGTGGCCAGCCTGCAAACAGCCATCAGCCACTCACCCAGACTGGCCAGGCACCCCAGCGGGACCCCTACCCTGAAGGGGGTGTGGCCAGCCTGCAAACAGCCATCAGCCACTCACCCAGACTGGCCAGGCACCCCAGCGGGACCCCTACCCTGAAGGGGGTGTGGCCAGCCTGCAAACAGCCATCAGCCACTCACCCAGACTGGCCAGGCACCCCAGCGGGACCCCTACCCTGAAGGGGGTGTGGCCAGCCTGCAAACAGCCATCAGCCACTCACCCAGACTGGCCAGGCACCCCAGCGGGACCCCTACCCTGAAGGGGGTGTGGCCAGCCTGCAAACAGCCATCAGCCACTCACCCAGACTGGCCAGGCACCCCAGCGGGACCCCTACCCTGAAGGGGGTGTGGCCAGCCTGCAAACAGCCATCAGCCACTCACCCAGACTGGCCAGGCACCCCAGCGGGACCCCTACCCTGAAGGGGGTGTGGCCAGCCTGCAAACAGCCATCAGCCACTCACCCAGACTGGCCAGGCACCCCAGCGGGACCCCTACCCTGAAGGGGGTGTGGCCAGCCTGCAAACAGCCATCAGCCACTCACCCAGACTGGCCAGGCACCCCAGCGGGACCCCTACCCTGAAGGGGGTGTGGCCAGCCTGCAAACAGCCATCAGCCACTCACCCAGACTGGCCAGGCACCCCAGCGGGACCCCTACCCTGAAGGGGGTGTGGCCAGCCTGCAAACAGCCATCAGCCACTCACCCAGACTGGCCAGGCACCCCAGCGGGACCCCTACCCTGAAGGGGGTGTGGCCAGCCTGCAAACAGACCCCCACCCCACCCCCATGCACGAATTTTGTGCACCGGGCCTCTAGTTAGATTATAATGGAGCTGAAAAATTCCTCTTCCTAGTGACCTCATAGCTGTTGAAATGCAACACTTTATTCACGTGTTTGTGGAGATGCTGGTGTAAACAAACCTACTGAGTCATACAAACATATAATACATACAGTTTTGTACAGTGCATAATACTTGGTAATGGTAATAACTATGTTACTGGTTTACGTTTATTATGTTTCTTGGTTGCATCATTATTTCTTGTGCTTGATTTAATCTCATGCTGTTTCATACAGTGACAGGTATACAGGTTTGTAGCCTAGGAGCAATAGGCTACACCATATAGGCTAGGTGTATAGTAGGCTATGCATCTAGGTTTGTGGAAGGGCACTCTGTGATGCTTGCACAATGATAAAATTGCCTAATGACACATTTTCCAGAACATACCCTGATCATTAAGTGGTGCATAACTGTGTGGCACAAAGTATAAAAAAGAGGAAAATCTTCCAAAATCCTATCCCTAGGATACCCTCTTTTAACCTATTGTTTTATATCATTTAGGCTCTTTCGTATACACATACCATGTGCACATGTTCTAAAAATTGAGAACATTGTAAAAGCTATTTTGTAATCTTTATTAACATTTCCCACCTCATTATATACTCTATAATACGCTGCATTGATTTTCATCATGTGGATTTACCATGACTTACTTAAGTAACCATAACATTTCAATTGTTTTCATTTTTCTCCTATTTTAACTAACTATATAATAAAGATTCTCCTATGTGAACTTTTAAGCACGTTTCAGTTTATCTTATTAGAATTTATAGATAGAAGTTTTTCACTTACAACCTGTGCTGTTTGTGTTTAGGTCATTGTCAGAAGGGGCCATTGAACATGCTTGCCTGCCGTGCAATCAGGGGGCCTTGGAAGAGCTTCGTGAGCAGTACATTAAAGCAGTGAAAAAAATCAAGCGTAAGTCCCTAGAGAGAGTCCCACGATTTTCAAGTGGTTTGGGCCTTTTTGTTACTGACAAAAGTAATTTTGGGGAATTTTTCAAGCAACTTTGTCCTAGACTCTTACCAGCTTGCATAAGAGAACATTGATACCTTTCTTTTTTAAAAAAGATATATTTTATTGATTTTTTACAGAGAGGAAGGGAGAGGGATAGAGAGTTAGAAACATCGATGAGAGAGAAAGATTCATCAGCTGCCTCCTGCACACTCCCCACTGGCGATGTGCCTGCAACCAAGGTACATGCCCTTGACCGGAATCGAACCTGGGACCCTTGAGTCCGCAGGCTGATGCTCTATCCACTGAGCCAAACCGGTTAGGGCAATACCTTTCTTAATTAAACAGTAATGGATCATTTTGCCCAAATAGTTTCTTTTGGAAGTGACATAGAGGATAGAGTTGTTTTATATTGTTGATTATTCTGTTTCTTTTTTGGACACTGATATTAAACTAAAAATGTTATAATCTTATAACTTAACTGGTAGCAATGAAACTGTCACCTGAGTGTTAAATTATTTTTTACTACCATCAACTTTTAAGGACCAGGGAAAATGGATCTAGTTAGGAGTCGTTCTCTTGTTTCTCATTATTTTGACAATGGACTAAGTTGTAGATGTATTTGTTTGCCAAATCCTTTACAGTCCTAGGTGGTGCAGCACACCCCGGAGAGCGTTTCTTCAGTTATGTTTTCCTAGTAGCACGGATACCTCCTGGTTTTTAATTACAATAAGTATTGCATAGAATGTGTGTGTCCCAGAACAATAACCAACACTTATATAGAAGAAATGTGTACTTACGTCCCAATACTGCATTCATTTTTAACAAAAAGAGTGGAGCAGGTCTCAGGTTCCGAATATAATTGGTAGATCATGAGAATCATGTGTAGATGTTTGAAAAGCCCATTTAGTATCAGTTTAAGAGGATTTGCTTCTCAGTTGCCACTTATATTAATAGAGGCTCTATTACTACAAACAAGGCAATTTTTGTTACCCATCATATAAATTGGGAAGTGAAATTTTAAGTATTTTTTTTCACCCTAATATAACGTGTGTGTGTGTGTGTGTGTGTTTACATTTTACAAGTTGGTTGGAAATTTTGTGTTGACATGTACTTTGTTTTCATTTTTTCCACTTCAGATAGTGAAAAGTAGTCTATCAGTATTTTTGCAGAGAACATGTGATTTTCAGGACAAGCTTACTGTCCTCTGTGAATTGGAATCTTTAATATAACAGGGGTGTTGATAGGTGGAGGATGCAGGCCTGGGCTTGGTAACAAAAGTCAACCTTAGCTAAAGGTACTCCCAATCAAAGCATGTCGAGTTACAGATAAAAAGAGATTTCAAAAGCTAGTGGACTATTTTAAATGTGAATTCAGAAGGCAACGTGAGTCCCTTTCCTTTCCCTGCAATAGCACTGTGCACCTCTCTCTCGTGGATGGTGAGATTCCATGTTGTTGGATGCTCACTGGTGCTGAAAGGATTGAATACATGATGAAACACGGATTTTCAGAGCACAAGGAAACAGAAGACTCTGCGTCTCTTCAGCTCCTTTTGCCTCCTTCTGTGTCTGCTGTCTCCTCCTTTCTGGCTACCCTTTCCTGTATATTTCTCTTTTTCTCTTTTAATCAGACCTAATGGACAAGTAAAATGCATATAGGGTGGGGCAAAAGTAGGTTTACAATTGTATGTGAAAGTTTATCCTTGTGTCATTATTTCTGAATTATTGTATTTTCCATATGAACAACTGTAAGCCTACTTTTGCCCCACCCTGTGTTTATGGTCTTTTTCTTTATCTCAGTGTTTTAGAAAAGGACAGAATCTCCCTGGGGAATGTGCTCTGTGTCCTTACCATATGTGGCTGTCATCATTCTGGGAAGACTTAGATTCCTTTGCCTTTGAGTCTACCAAAATAGTGATCGGAAATATTCCCTTTTAATGACTGTGGAAAAGTGCAGTGTTTAAATTATACCTGTAATCAGTTCATCTCTTAGAAAATTGGTCTGAAGTCTGCTTCTCTTGTTTTTAAAGAACTGGTAACAAACGTGCCTCTGTGGGGATTTCTCTGCACCCCCACCCCACCCCCTTGCCCGCAGGTGACATGCTGCGCTACATTCGGGAGAGTAAGGAGAGAGCTGCGGAAATGGTCAAGGCAGAGGTGTTGCGAGAACGTCAAGAAACCATCCGTAAGATGCGCACGTACTATTTGACCTGCCTCCAACAGATCTTGCAGGATAATGGGAAACAGGAGGGGTAAGCTTAACCAAGCATCCTGTCCTTAGAGTACCATGACGCATGTTGTTTTTTAAGCATTTTGCTTAATCACGTTATTAGCTGTTTCTACGTGATCAGCCATTGGGGTTAAGAGAGGCTCAAAGGCTGTGCTGCCCTAATGTTGGCAGAGCTAATAGGAAAACAGAAGTCCTGGGGTGAAGGAAACTCATTTTTCCCCTTAAACTATATTAATTTAATGTTCTGGAATTCCCACAGAGCTGAGAAAAAGATTATGAATGCTGCTAGCAAACTTGCTACAATGGCAAAGCTGCTGGAAACACCTATTGCAAACAGATCCCAGAGCAAAACCACAGCGTCAGGTATGTCAACATGAGTCACTTGAGGGGTTTTCTCTCTCTCTCTCTCTTTTTTTGATACTTAATATTTTTCAAATGAAAAAAGAAACCCACAGGAAATGTAGGGAGTGAGAAGTAATTTATTAACTTCTGGGTGTTTTTTACTTAAACTGGAAATGTGCAAAACAATGTTGTTTCCAGCTCAAGTAGGCAGACTCAGCAAACCCATCAGCTTCCTTTTGCTGCTTCCAACCCTAGAAATGGTAGAAAAGATGGTAAACAACAACTATAAAAGAAGAAATTATAACTGGGCTTAGAAAAGTGTGATTGGTGGGCCAGAAGCCATGAGAAATCCTGAAAGAAAGAAGACAGTAGAAGATTGAGGAGGGGAGCCTCCGTTCAGAACTGCCAGAGATGACAGCCACAGCAGGAGCAATATCAGAACTGTCCCACAGACGAAGGTGGTGATGTTGCAGGAGAAGTAAGCCTGGGCCATCCCACCAGGAAAACTAGTTGGGGTTCTAGAACAGCGGGATCCAGGTGGGGTCACCCTCTTCAGTTCTCCTCCTCTCCCTTCCCCAACCCCAATATTGGGCTGGGTCAGAGCAACAGGAAGAAGGGCCTGGAAGCAGGGCGGTGCTCTGGGTGGCCAGCCACACCAAGGCGGCACGGAGTGGGAGCCCACATGCTCAGAGGACCAGCTATTGTATTTTTTAATTTAGTGTTTTTTATCCTCACCTGTGGATATGTTTATTTATTTGATAGAGAAAGAAAGAGAGAAACATTGATGTGAGAGAGGAACATCGATCAGTTGCCTCCCAAATGCACTCCTATTGGGGATCAAACCCATGACCTAGGTATGTGCCCTGACTGGGAATCAAATCCGCAACCTTTTGGTGTATGGAACAATGCTTCAACCAACTGAGCCACCTGGCCAGGGCCAGAGTACCAGGTTTTAGGTCTTTCTACCCTGCAGCTCATTTCTTCCCATTCCATTCCCAACTTCTTTAAACCAACAGCAATACAGCTCATTCAGGACATCTGAAAGGTAAGCATTCAACCAAGAATCATCACATGTTTATAGAAAGCCAGTACCATGAAAAAAGGCACCAAACTCAAAATAAAACAAAACAAAACAAATAAACAGAACTTATACCTAAGGAAATAGAATTCGTAGAACAAACAGCAGGACCTGAGAATGTTAGAAAAGTATAGTATGCTCAGAAAAATGTAAGAGAATATTGTAGTGGAAATTAACAATATGCTAAGATTTTTATTATTTTCAAGGAGAGGATATAGATACTGGTAATTCTAGCCATTGCTAGAAAAATATAGGTTTAAGTATGTGTATTGAAATTTAAGGATAACCAATAGAGAAATAGAAGTAGAGAATGTAACTTTCAAATTGGTAGGGGAAAAACTTGGAAGATGATGTTTTTAATTTAACAAAATCAAGAAAGAGGAAAAATACAACTAGAAAGCATGGGTAAGTAGGAAACAATGATTGGTTGAAATATCAGCATTCACACAAAATGTGAATAGCTTAAACTCACTTATTAAGAGACCACAACTTGCAAATGGTTTTTTAAAAATCCAGACATATGTTACTTCCACAGGAAGAACATTTAAAATTCAAAATAAAAGGATGGAGGGTGACATACCTAGTAAGTGCAGTGCTGATAGTAGAAAAATTATAGAGTTAAATGCAATATTAGGAAAATTACAGAGTTTTAGCATTACCAAAGTACTTGGTAATGTACTTTACCAAAGTTCATGATAAAGGAATTGCCTCCCAAGAAGCTATGTAAATGGTTTCTTTTTCTACAAAAAAAAAAAAAAAAAAAAACTTTTTTTAGAATATGTAAAGCAACAGCTGGTGAAAATAAATGAAAGCATTGGTTAATTCCACATGGGTGGGGGCGGGGTGGGATTTGGACTCGGAAGCTTCAGGCAGAAATTGTTCAGGAAATTGAGTCTGATATTGGTAAATGTGATTATTTGTGTAAATTTTGGAACGGTAATGTGAACGCTGTACTCTTCTGAGGCAGTTGCCTCTGATTCTGTGCCATGTGGCTACTTTGCCTCTGGTCAGATTTAATGCCTTAGCTCCGTGGTCTGCAAACTGCGGCTCGCGAGCCACATGCAGCTCTTTGGCCCCTTGAGTGTGGCTCTTCCTAAGCCTTAGGAGTATCCTAATTAAGTTAATACCTTTTCAGGTATTGACATCCTCAGCATCAAGGTCGACATTGGAGATCATGCTTTCTGCTCCTTTTATGGTGTCTCTAATCTCTTTTGATATCATAATTGCAACCTAATTTTTTTAGGTTGTATGCTCACAAACTATACCTATATAGTTTAAGTTTAAAAATTTGGCTCTCAAAAGAAATTTCAATCGTTGTACTGTTGATATTTGGCTCTGTTGACTAATGAGTTTGCTGACCACTGCCTTAGCTGATTAAATGAGAGACTCCAATTAGTTTGTGCTGTGTGTGTGGGCATAGTGTTGGGCACTGGGGTTCTTCCAGTCACCTTTCTTCATCAGAAACTCCATATCAGAACAGGACTGGAAACGTCGCAGTTGGCTCTTAAAATGCTATAACATCTGTTGCAGAAAATAATAGACCCGGTGGCTAGCAATAATACTGTATCAGATTTCAATAACAAAATTACCTACCTTGTTCTAATGGATATATGTAAAAGAGGATTTTAACATGTTGACATTGATGTATTTCTGAGAGTGATTCAAATAAATATGCCTTCTTTGGGAATACATAAAAATGTAGTTTTTATCCTTTTCTTTCAATGCTAACTTTCTCCTAGTTTTACGCTCCCCTAATTTTGTGTTCCCTTGTATATTGTAGTACTGCCCCTGACTTCAGAGATAATTGGTGTTGAAAAATCAAAAAGTAATGATGTGGACAAGACTCTACCGGGTCACACTGAAAGCAAATCAAACAGTATGAAAACTCTCCCCAAAAGTATGTGCGACCAGGTTCCCAAGAGGCGGGCTGCTTGCGACCTTCGGAGGCGGCTGGAGGCGGCGGAGCTTGGGGACCCAAAGCACGTGGGTCCCAAAGGGTCGCGTGCAGACTTTCAGGGTGGGGATTGCAGTCACAAACATCTGCACGCGTCGCCAGGGGCTGCCTCTCCCGAGTTTGTCCCTTGGGAAGGCGAAGGGGGCTATGGTTTGCACAGGAAGAAAGACCTCCTCGGTGACGCCGGCTCGGGCTCGTGTCTGCAGGCAGCCGAATACCCCTTCCTCGGACCCTTCGGAAGCAAGTCCTCGCCGAGAAATGGCCCCGCTCTTTCCGAATCGGGATCCGCACACATAACTTGTCGGAGTCCTAATGAAAGACTGGGCTTCAAAGTCTCCAAATGTGTTCCACTCACTGAAAGGGAATCGGACAAAAGTGAGGGTCTGGGTGTCGAGGAAGCTCCTGTCAAGGACGGCGGGGACCCCGGCGCCTCGCTGGGCTGGCATTCCAGCAGCGCCACCTTGCCCTGCGGCAGCCCCGAGGCATCCTTTCTCCGAGACACTCTGGAGGTGCTCGCCGGGGCTGGTCATTTCAAACAGTTCTTAGCAGCCGGTTGCCTTTCAGAGAAAGAGAAAAATCATAAGAATTCTCCACCGATGCAGTGCCGGACTTGTCGCACTCCAGACCTGTCCGAAGAAGCCATGTATGCCCAGCCGGGGAAGACCAGCATGACCCCTGGACACCCAGCTCGTCCTACCGCGGATCTATTGGCGGCAGATTTCAAACAGCTGAGCAGTGCAGAGCCGTCTTCAGCGCATCGGCAACCTTCGAGAAGGCCGATGGCCCCTCTGTCCAGCCAGCAGGACAGCGGCTTCGACAGCCCCTTTGTCAATCTTGACTAATCGTTGTACAGTATTTAAGAAGAATATATTGGCAAGAAAACTGGAAGGGAAGACTTCATATTGAAAAATGTTTTGAGATGTTTTAATGACATCTATTCTATGAGTAAAGTATTCCCATAAAACTACTTGAGATATTCATGTCGCCTTAATCTCCCAAAGGCCTGATAGTGTCTGTGTAATCTGTTTCCGTGTGGTGTTTATATTTGGTTGCTAAACCATCTATTTTTTTATACTTACAAATTATCTCTCTGTGCACTGTTAAATTATTTAAATAAACTTGCATATGGTCTATAGAGTTGTCATGAATTATTTTGTAACTCATGATATAGAAATGTTATACTGACATTACGTTTGAAATTCATCCAGAAAAAAAAAGTAAACTTTGATGATTTGTGTATATGATCAGCCAAATTTAATTTTTTAAATTGGCAATATTTAATGAGGCTATATACTCACCTACACATACCTTTCCTGGAAGTATCTTCTCAAAATTTTTATTCTTGCTTCCAATTTGTAGAAAAGAGGTTTTGTAAGGATTGCCACAAAATATGTAGCGGTGTCCTGGTTGTATTGTTTAGAATAATAGTATACATTTTTTAGTTGGCATTTGCATTATGTCATGTCTCCTAGGACATCCAGAGAAAGACTTTCTTTGTCTCCTTTATGGTTTCATAGTCTTTCTTTTAGTTAAAATACCACTTTTTAAAAAATGGAAACGATAGGCCCTATCATGTAGCAAATAATTTTTAGCTGTTAGATTTTTATGTTCATTTATATAATAGAAATTGGCTAAGTTATTAATGCTATGTGCCAAAGGTCATAACTTTAAACCACACAGAAATGAATGACCACCTGAATACTGTTGTTTTTAGAGGAATCTTTTGCAGATTCTTAGAGGTGCGTATGAAAGTGTTGGTGTATGCAGGTGCTTCTCTCAAACCTCTCACCCTCAACCATGTATGGGCAGTATATGTGGTTTGATTCAATATAGTTTCCACCCAGAACCAGGGTGTTTGTGGGATGGGTGGCAAATGCATCCTCCTCCTGCTGTGAATCATCTCTAAAAGCAAGAACCTGGAACAGAACCTTCTGGAGCTTGGAAAGCTATGTCACCTCATCTGGTGACCGGATGTAGAGAGAGAAGCCTGAAAACTAGCCCGGATTTCAGTGCTTGAGTTGACATGCAGTTAGGGAAAGGAACATGGCTTCTCTTCAAAGTCTCACTTCTGTTCCCGAGGATCAGTGCCCCTTGTCTAATAGTTTGGCTGGAATTTCTGACTCTAGGAAAACTCCTAAACCAGCTGAATTTATGGTTCTGGTTGGTGATTGATCCGTTGAAGTCCTGGGTGTAACTGAACTGAGAATCTAGCTCATTGCTCACCTACCTTTTCATCTTTTGTTTGTTTTAAAACCTTGTCAGGTATTGACATCCTCAGCATCAAGGTTGACATTGGAGATCATGCTTTCTGCTCCTTTTATGGTGTCTCTAATCTCTTTTGATATCATAATTTCAACCTAATTTTTTTGATATCCATATTTCATTCTATTCAATAGGATTAAGTTATCTTATTTCAAACACCTTACACACAACCACCAAGGAAGGTATACACAGACAGCTGTGCAAACGAAGGGACTGCACAGCCAAACCAGCAGTGATTTGCATCTGAAGGATGATGTCAGAACAGAATGGAAGCGGGAGCTCCATGGACGATACGGTCACATAAATTTCACTTCATCATGGTGTTTAATCTTTTTTATGTGCTGCTGGGTTCTGTTTGCTAATATTGTGTTAGGGACTTTCATGTGTATGCTCACAAAGGGTGTCAGTTTTCTTGTGATAACTTTGTCTTGCTGTGATAAAAAAGTGATACTGGTCTCATAGAATGGGTTGGAAAGTGGTTCCCTCCCTCTGTTTTCTGGAAGAATCTGTATAGAACTGACATTATTATTTAAATACTGGATAGGTCACTATGTGAAATTTTGGTTTCTTTGACCCCCTCCCCCATATTTTTCTGTTTCCTATTAAATTGATTTTTCTCCCCTCTGATCTTTATTTTCTTTCTAATACTTGCTTTAGGTTTAATTTGTCTGTTCTTAAAGTGGAAGCTTAGATTATTGATGTGAAACCTTTTCTTCTATACCTATAGTAGAAACCTCTAAGTACTCTAAGTACTATTTAAGTCATATCTTGTAAATGTTGATATGTTGTGCTTTTTTTTATTTACCAGGTAGTTCAAAATATTTTCTAATTTCCCTTGTGATTTTTTTTTAACCCATAGGTTATATAGAAATATGTAACTTCATTTCTAAGTATTAAGGATTTTCCAAATTTCTTGTTGTTGTTTATTTTTAATTTTTTGTCATTGGAGAATATACTTTGAATGATTTAAATTCCTTTAAATTTCTTGAGACTTGTTTTATGGCCTGGTGTATAGTTTATCGTGGAGAATGGTTACACCTGAAAAGAATGTGTACAGTATTCTCTTGTTTGATGGAGTATTAAAAACTGTCAGTTAGGCCCTAGCTGGTTTGGCTCAGTGGATAGAGCATCCGCCTACAGACTGAAGGGTCCCGTGTTTGATTCTGGTCAAGGGCATGTACCTCGGTTGCAAACTCCTCCCTGGCCCAGGCCCTGGCCTGGTGGGCCTGTGCAGGAGACAATCAATCGATGTGGTTCTCTCACATCGATGTTACTCTCTGTCTTTCCCTTTCTCTTCCACTCTCTCTAAAAATCAATGGAAAAATATCCTTGGGTGAGGATTAAAAAAAAAAATGTCAAATCAAGTCGTTGGTTGATAGTAGTGCTCAAGTCTGTGATAGCCTTGCTGATTTGTGCCTATTTGTTCTGTTAATTATAAAAAAATGTGATATTGTCATTTCCAACAATAATTGTTAAAGTGTCTATTTCTTCTTTCAAGTGAGACCATGCTGTAGGGGGCTTTCCATGCTGATCAGAGGAAGCAGGCAGGGAAGCCAGGAGGACAGTGTCCTGGTACAGTTAGTCAGGAACAAGGCCAGAGCCAGGGTAGAAATGATAGAAAAGAAGGAGAATATCTCAGCACTGGGCTGAACAGGACCTGCTGCCTGACTGAATACAAGGTCAAGAGCAAAAGAAGCACCAAAAGAGGATTAGAACTGGAATGATTGTGAAGATTATTGTGCTGTTCATCAACAGGTATTGGGAAATCAGGAAGAAAACGGGACATGGTGAATTGAACTGGGCGTACCTTCCCTTCAATACTACAACGCCTGTGCTTTGGTGGCCACACACTAATGTTAAAACTAATTTACAGACACTTAACCGCATGCGGAGCATTGTGCCAAGTAGTTCATTAGCTCATTAAATCCTCACAACAGTCTTTGAAGTAGGCTCCATATGACACTTTTTAGATGAATGAAACTGAGGCTTACAGGGGTTAAATAATTTGCTCAGAGCTAACACAGCTAACACATGGGCAGAGCCAGAAATCACACCCAGGTCTTTTTTATTTTTTTTAAATAAACTTTTCACTTAAAATAGTTTTAGGTTTACAAAAAAAGTTAGAAAGATATTACAGAGAGTCTCCAAATGTATCTCACCCAGACTCCCCTATTGTTAGCATCTTACATCACTATGTTGTATTTGCCACAACTATAAAGAACCAATTTCACCAACGTCTTTTTTTCTTTTTCCTCCAGAGCCCATAGTCTTAATCCCTATCCTGTCTATTTGGCTTGGCTTATAGGTGAGCTGGAATTCACTTTAAAAGGGGAGTTCTTTCCTTTTTCCTCTCCTTCCACTTCTCCCCCGTGCTCCTGAGAAGGAAAATGAGTTCAGCAGGCTTTTCCACATGTGAAATCCTTTTAACTTGCTTTCTTGGTAGAATATAGAGGGGTGGGAAGGTCTTACTCTTTAGTGGAGATTTATGGAATATGACATTATGTGGAGGTTGTGTTGCAACTCAGAATTTACCAACACAATTGGAAAATCTATAACACAATAGAGTCATCTTTTGTAATTTTAAAATTCAACCAATAATAGTTCATCTAAAAATAAAAAAATAGAAGACATTTAGAAATTTCCTAGCAGTAAATAAGCCATTCTGAAGCTTCTTGATATTATTATGACAACATTTTTCCTTAAGGACCGGAACAGGAAATTAATTGGAAATCAAAATAGTGATAGCATTAAAGAGAAACTTTATTTACAAAAGTAACATAAACTGAAGGACTTCTTTCATAAAGTTCAACAATAATATGAAAACTCAGAGATTGAGTTAAATCTTGTGCTCTTAGAAATGTCTGATGAGGAAATTGAATAGAACCAACAAAAAAAATGAATGTGTTTTTTAAAATTTTATTGTTTGGGTTCAGGCACAGTCTTTGTCGGAAAGATTTTGTTTTCTCACAAGAAGTTTGATTTCACAATTTTATTGATCATGTTGTGTACATAGTATACTGAGCAAATTCTCCTCCTGGTGCTTCCCGACCTCATGCGCCCTAGAGCTGGAGTTCATTTGTATAAGGACATAGAGTGAACCCACTTTATGCGTGATCACAATGGCCCTATAGGTATTAATGGCTCAGTTTCACAATTTACTCTGCAAAGTCTACAAGACTTAGATTATTGTTAGTTACTTTGATTCTGTGATTCTAAGTTGTTTCTGACTTTCCCATGAATTCAGGTTTCTGTTTTAATTAGTTAAAAATTTTCCAAAAAAATTTTTTTAATTAAATTTATTGGGATGACATTGGTCAACATGAACATATAGGTTTCAGGTGTGGCTTTCTATGTTACAAGATCTGTACATTGCACCATGTGCCCACCACCCAAACCAAAATTCTTACCTGTTTGGTTTCTTAAGGTTTGGCCTAGGTATAAACACAAATAATAATATATGTTTTTTGGATACCTGTAATGGAGCAGTCATCATATTAAGCTTCATACATATACTTTGTCCTAATCCTTTCAACAGCCTTTCAAAGTGCGTCTTCTTTTTTTTTTTTAATTTTTATTTGTTTTTTTTT